GAAGTTAACTGATTTAGTAACAAGATCCATTAGTAAAGACGAAGATTCAACTCAGCAAGGTGGAGATTGTTAAGAAATCTGGGCTACCTCATTAAATCTTGGGCTATTGGGCCGCATCTTTGTTGAGACCAACAATAGATAACCAAGTTGCTGGCCCTTTTATCAAATCGTATTTTGGAAACACGACATTAGCCTCTGAGGGAGTGTGAATCTGCCGTCCACGTGGCTACATTCCAACCCTTGGATTGTGACTGTTGAATTGATCAGATATATACTTGACATTGGCACTATTCACACTCTCTGGATCCCTCTTTCAGTCTCTTCGTCTCTCTCTGTTTTCTGAGTAAAAATTAGGGTTTTTGATCTCTAAAATTGAAATCGATCTTTGTGATTGAAATGGTTGTTCTTAGTGATAGAATCTGATTGTTTAGTACAATCGATAGATACTGATTTTGTGAGGTTCTTTCTGCTGTGAAAAGAGGCGAGAGAAATACGAAGAAATCTGAGATTTCTTCGCTCATTTGTACTGTTTCTTGGTTGATACTAGTGGATCTTGAGCTAAATCCCTTAGTGGATGCTCAAGGGTGATTAGGTCTCACGACTGAACATTTGGGCCCTTTCGAGGGCGAAAAATCTCTATGTTCTTTCATTTTAATTTCTGCAATTTTTCACTTACAGTTATAAATTCGATCCTCAAACTTGAATGTTAAAAATAACATGTCCCATGAAAATAAAATATGTCAATAACCCTGACCATGTAACCTTGCTCCATTAGTCAAACGTAGTCAGATAACTAAATGAAGTATTCACTATTTCGATTGGATCGACAAGTCTACTTAATTTTTTGTATCATCTAAAATTCCGCTAATCCTTTCAAAATGTCCCAGAGAGAAGCAAAAAATCATCTAACAATATGACTAAGAATAATATTTACATGAAAATCATATGAAATTAACATGAGAAGAATGTCAATTCAATGATAGTTAAACGGGATTTTGAGTCGAGAATTGAGAAATAGAATTATCGAAAATGCTGGACCTTTTCTTGTTTTTTCCCTTTTTTGACGCTCAAAATATTTTTGGGCATGACTGGCAACTTGGGTTGGGCTCCTTGTCCGAACTTCATATCTTGGTATCCTCTTCCAATCTCCTTTCCCGTATTTTTTCCAAGCCCACTAAAAATAACCTATTGTACATGTAGGTAACAAAGTCAACAATTACATCTAAACGTATGTTTTAATCAAACCCTGATCTTTTGTCCTATTGGATGTCCACAAAGTACAGTTTTAACATCTCACCATATCATCTCTTCTTAACAAATAGGAAGACAACAAGATGTAACATGTGATAAGTTCAGCCGCATTCCAGCTGGTTTTTTAATCAGTTTCTTCCTTTTGAAGTAATTGAAAATAAGTCAAAACTTCAATTGTTTAATGAAGAAAAAACACCTATGCAAGAAGACAATTTGAAATGAAATTCTCTAGTCGCAATTTTTGATTGACTGACAACTAGAACCTTCCTTAATGCATGAACATAGTCACAATTTTAATTACTTCATGTAGAAGGCAGTCCACAAATTTTGACTGTCCATTAAGCACCTAAATGGTAGAATTCTGGCTATAAAATTGAGGTGGTTTGTAGTCTAATTTCTCTATAAATAAGGGATGTCACAAAAGGAATTTTATATGCCCCAAGAGAGAAGGAAATATCCTTTGAGAGGAAGAAAAATAGAGTGTATAGAATAGAAAAAAAAAAGAGAGAGAGAGACTCTTTTGAGATTTTTTTTTTTTTTTTTTTTTTGAGTTTGTAAACTTCATTGTACATTCTATTCAAGTATAAATAGAATTGTTTTTCCTCTTTTATTCTCTTCTTGTGATCAGAGAATCACAACATGTCGATGTGTCAAAAAATATGTTAGCATCTCAGAGTCATTAAGAAATGATAATGAGTCAAAGCATCAAAAATGTATTGAAGGACCACAGAGGAACATAGATGACAAATGCCAACTCATTTGAAGAAAGTAAGATTAGGAATATCATAATAAAAATGTTAAAAACCAAATTGAAATTAAATTTTAGATTGTCTAACTAGCGATGTCAATGGGTCGAGTCGAGCCGGCTCGGCTCGTTACCCTACGAGCTCGGCTCGTGCTCGGGCTCGTTGCCCAACGAGCTCGTGGCTCGTGGGTGGGGACGAGCCGAGCTCCTTTTTTAATTTTTATACACGTTTTCTTTCTAAATATTTTTTAAAAAATACAATTTTGATAAATTTTTATCTTATAAGTATTTTTATTTTGTAAACAATTTATTTAGATAAAGTTTGTTTTACTAATAACTTATAAGTTATAAATAATTTTTAGTTAATATATTTTAATATATTTTAATTTTCAAGTTTATTTTGAAGAAAACATATTGATTGAAAATCATTATTTTATAAATGATAAAATTAAATATGATATGAGAAATTGTAAAATGATTTTTCAAAATATTTTTCCTTTTTAAAATAATAAAAATAATAAAATATAAACCCTCCTCCTTTATCCGGGTTTGGGACCGACTACTTCAATAGTTCTTATTTCGAGTAGGCAGAGTTAAAAATTGTACACGAACAACTTGTTACGTGTACAATTTTTTTTAAAAAATTATAAAGGTATTAAAATAAAAATTCTTCATAAATATGATTAAACTAAATATCACTTACTTGACTACATGCAATTTCGGTATATTTATTTTGCAGTCGAAAATGAGCGTCTTGCCAGTCCTTCACGCACATTAATGCTTCCAAAACATTTTTTTTTTTGGATGAGCCACGAGCTCGCTCGCCGAGCCGCTCGTCAATCAATTCATAGGTTCGGCTCGTTACTCGGGCTCGTTTTTTACGAGCCTGAGCGGCTCGTGGCTCGTTTTAGGCGAGCCAAGCTCGCGAACTACTCGAGCCCATTGCCACCACTATGTCTAACTAAAACTCACTCTTAAAATGGACTCACACAAAGACAAACTATCGCACCCAACTTTCCATAAATTACAAGACCATAATTTCAAACTCTAGTCAAAATATAGTCCCCGAGAACAAAATAATCAATAGACATCAGGATACATTACCTGTGTTCCTCTTCACTCCAGGGTTTCGCTACTCTTTTCTGAACCTTCTTACCGAAATCCACCAAACACTTGGCTTCTTCAGATTCCACCGCCACCGACAACAACACCGCCGCATTATCTATATATAACGGCAGCGCTATTAACCCATCCTCATTTAACGCCAAAGCATGCTACAAATTATCGTAATGTATTTCAATTTCTTGTGCTGATTTTCCCTCAAGTTTTGCAACAATTTTAATTTTCTCACATCGATTGGAGTCCCGTATGTATATTGAACAAGGTCAAACTTGAATCGCTTATCTTCTTCCCAACTCCACGAACAGTTAGTTATAATTGCTTATTTTATCTTCTCCCACAAATTATATAGAAGATTTCTTCTAGTAAAATTTTTGGGCGAAATGAAAAATTTTAAGGTTACTGAGCATTCCTAATTTGCTCCGATTTACTAGCCAATTCGAATTGGCGAACCTATTTTGGAAAGTTGGGTTAGGGTTCTCAATTGAATTTTAAGAGAAATTTCAATTTCATCCTCCAAATTTACAAACTGAGAAAATGGGAACTTTCTCTTGAAGTCATCCAAGTTACAAGTTGGTTTCACTTTGGTTAATCAATTTCAATTTGTTTCAATTTTATCATCTAACATATGCTATTGTTTCGATTTACCATTCTAGTGTGGGCGTTTACTAAGGTTCTGTTTATGCCCCATTTTGGGGTAAAATAGGTTTGACATGATGATTTTTTAAAGAATGTGTGATTGAAAAATAGAAAAAAATTTAAATTACATATAAAATTATTTTATGAAAAAATGTGTAGTTAAAAATAAATTTTTTAAAAAATAAATTTTAAAAATTGGAGCTCTAACAATTAATAAAACTGATAGAATTTGAAGATTTGTGATCTAACAAATATTTTTGGCAATACAATTATTTGTGGAGTCTAAAAATTCCCAAGATATTTATGTTTTCTTTATATGTAGCATTGGTTTGGTTCTGATTGTTTAAAAATTATTTTTTTAAATTTATTTTAATCATATATTCTCTCAATAAAATAATTTTACAAAAATATTTCTCTACTTTTTAACGACAAGTTTTCAAAAAATAAATAAATAAATAAAAAGGGATTTTCCATTTCTTATAATCTCTTCCAAACAAATTCTTAAAAATTATTTTCATAAAAATTGCACTATCAGTCTCTAATCTGTTAACGAGCTGCAACTTTTCTCCATCCTTTAGTTTTAGCTGCATATCCCTAACATGTCACCTAGTAGAGTCATTGGTCCCCAATTTTGTTCATTTAAGTGTTAAAAAGGTGCTTTAAAAAGAAAAATAATTATTGTACATCACCATTCATATAACTATTTACAAATTAACGAGGTGTCAAAAAGAAAAGGAGTTTTCTTTTTATTTGATTGATGAAATTTTGATTCAATCTACTCTTGTTATATAATCTATTGGTAAACAGATCTGTAAGCCGTGATATACATGTAAAACAACTGTTAAAACAATTGTTAATTATTAATTAATTTATTTTTGTAAAGATCATTATAGCCTCATTTTTAAAAATTAAAAAAAAAATTAAAAGAAGAAGGAAAGAATAGAACCTTATTCAAATTGTCGAAAGGAATTTGTCTAATCTGAACTAATCGAATATGATTCAAATGAATTTGTACCTTTTCTGCCGGCAATATAGAATATGACTCAAAAGATGAGAATGATAAGACGAGTCAAATTTTCTCCATTCTTATTGATTTGAGTTGAGTCATAGAGCTCAATGTTAATTAGTTCAATATGTTTGATACAGCTTTCCCATTAATTTTACATTTCCAAACCCAGATACATTCTCATTTTCTTTCCTTTTGGTGTGAAAATAATAGTCATATATATATCAACAAATCAGCCAAGAGAATAATTGTTTCTTGAAAACAAATGGAAAGAAGATTTACTAATAAAAACAATCACTGAATACACCAACAAAATCGTAGATGGTCATAGATTTGTTGAGTTATTATACTGAAACAAAACAGGCATAATTTAAAACAACATTGTAACCTAGAACATAAATGAGAAATGGATCCTCCAAATTAATTCAAGGGCACTTAACCATTTCTCCATGGATCATGACCCGACCCCAATTGGTGCATTTCTTGGATCCGACGGGTACACATTTGTACTTGGCACAGCAGGCAGTACATACTCTCATGCATGGCCTTTTGGGGCTCACTGGTTTGCAGTACTCTTCACACATGGCCACGCAGCCTGCGGAGAGCAAAAAATGAGTCGAAAATATCATCGACTTGATATATACACAATTTAATAAATAAGCACGTCCTCACTTACAGGTTAGATTCATTTTTCAATCAAACGCCTGAAATATGCACAATTACCATAATCGGTACTGTTTGTTACCCATTTATTTGATGGATTAATCTACTCATCCGAAGTTTTTTTTTTGGGGGGGGGGGGGGGGGGAGGTGCCCCCCAAACCCATTATATTTTTAAGGCAAATATTTTTTTCTATGTATTAGCTCAATAGAAAAAAAAATAAAAATGGTCCATCTTGGCTCCATCCCTGAACACCACGACGTTTAATAACTTCATTTAAATCTTAAAAGCTTGAAATATTGGGAAGAGAAAAACTTATTTATTCAAACATAGTCTTCAACAAACCGTGTGTCGGAGCAACGGGATGGCTAGGAGCCTCTAATGGAGGATGAACATGAGGTTTTTCTGGAGTATGGATAGGAGCTTTCTTGGGAGGAGGCACATGGTGGTGCTTTGTTGGTGCATGGGCCGGAGCATGAACCGGAGCCTTCTTTGGAGAAGGGACGGGGGCCGTCACCGGGGCATGAGCTGGTACTCCGGCATGAGAGTGCTACAAACATTCCACGCACAAATTATGTCAGTAACGAGTTGCACAGCTCGAGAATTTAAACTTCTATATGAGATAGCTCCACAATTTTTTAGTTAAATCGTGTACGAGTGTAATTGTTTGTGTAAAACAACATACCGTTCTTGCAACTAAGACCACGAATGCTAATAAAAAGAATGCCGTTTTGATTGCCATTTTTTCTAGCAGAAGTGAATGATCACACAACGAAGAGGAAGAAAAGAACCAGATTTTGTGAATATTTCTGTTTACTGGTAGCATATGGAATGCAAAATGGAGGTATATATAGAAAGAATAATGGGAAACAAAGACATAAAAGGTTGGAACTAGTGGGGTTGGACTGTCCAAAAATGCTACCCCAGATAAAAGCAGCATCAGTTTGAAGCTGCTATTTCAATTTCTATAATTTGAGATTATTATTTTTCTGGGCTCAAGAAAATTGTCCATTATTTTAATATAATTTATTCATTTATGTGTCATTAGAGAATGAAAATAATATTAATTTATTTACCAAGATGAGGATATGGACTTGAACATTGCACTAATCAATGCAAGATTCATGGTTTCCTTTTGACCACCATCAACTAATCCACTTGTTCAAAATCTTGAGTAAATCAAAAAAAATTCACTTATTCTATAGTAATATGAATAACCTTCTCTAAATTTTGTACCAATATCTTTTGCTGAGCTCAATTTATTATTATTATTATTATTATTATTATTATTATTATTATTATTATTATTATTACTACTACTACTACTACTTATTTTAATCTAAAGCAGTGTTTCCTTTTTAATAATGTGTATTAATTTGTTTTTGCAACTTTTCATTTTTAATCTCAGAATGCTAAATTGAAGATAACATATTACCTCGTGTCTTTATTCGTGACATCTTCAATTCTTCCAAGAATCATTTTAGCAAAGTAAGGAGGGACAGTAACATCTATGAAATAATAATAATGATGATGATGATTATTATTGTCAAAACACTTGTCGGATAATAATAATAATAATAATAATAATAATAATAATAATAATAATAATAAAAGGAAAAGGAAAAACACGGCCAAAATTTATATAAATAAATAAATAAATAAATATATATATATATATATATATATATATTCTTTCTATGTTTTTTGTTTTATTTTTTAAGAATTATTTGTTGATAAATTATATTTTAGGGAAAATTGCAGTGGGAGTACCAAACTTTCGCTTATTAGCAGTCTTTGTCCAAACCTTTCATTTGTGCCACCCATGGTACCAAACCTTTCAAAAATACTCACTTGAAGTCCAACTTGACGGAAACTGTTAGTTCATCTGTTAGTTGACCAAAAGTCAACGATTTAACCAAATTTTGACTAATTTTAAAAGGTTAAAATTGTAAATTTATATTTTCTATAATAAAACAATTAAAATACAAAATTCACTTCATCTTCTCCGCTCACCCCACACTCACCCATCCCGCCCAAATCCTAAAAGAAAAAACCAGAACCCACCTACTTCCCGGACATCGTTACCCACCACACCGCCACCATCCATCTGATTTTAACGATCTCTCCCTCTTCTGCTGTGCCGCGCTTGCATCCATTCGCCCTGACGGCTTCGCCGTATCCCGTCTAGGAACCACCAAGTCCAAACCCAAAATTGCCTTCTTGTTCCTTACAAATTCAAATCTCCATTTTGCCTTATTTGGCAACTCTTCTTCAACCACCACCAAGGACTTTACAATAACTATATCCACTCTGATCCCTCCTCCAAAATTACTCCTCTTGGTAGGGTTTTTGAATGCCGTTTCATCGATGCGAAACTCACTCAACGCGCCACCCCGACTCTCATCTCCATCGCACTCGCCTCCTCGCCAATGCCCTCCTTGACGACTCTTTAAATCCCTACTTTTCCTTCGTCTCCCTGAACTGAATCCCGCTCCACTCATTCCAATTTATGTATAATACTTTATTCATCAAAAACGAATCTCATCCTTTTAGTTTCGAATTTCAGATCTAAAACACAAAATTAGTTGTTGAGAGCTTTAGCTGAGGTATTGGTTAAGGGACGACGATGGTGGCAATTGGCCTAGGTGGCGACGGTGGTCGATGGCCAGGGTGGCGGTGGCAATCGATTACCTGGGTGCGGTGGTAGTGATTTTGAGCCAAAGAAGAAGAAATGGTTTATCCTTTTTTTATTGTTTATTATTTTTTTTTTAATTTATATAAAAAATGTAAATTTACCCATTTACCTTCTAACACATTAGTCAACATTTGGTCAGACCATAGACTTATGGTCAAGTAACGGTCAAATTAACGGAAACCATTCATTTGGACTTCAAGTGAGTATTTTTGAAAGGTTTGGTACCGTGGGTGGCACAAATGAAAGGTTTGGACAAAGTCTGCTAATAAGCGAAATGTTTGGTATCTCGACTGCAGTTTTCCCTATATTTTATGGCGGCTCAAACAAGTTGAGAGATTCTGGCCAACTTGTTGGGATTTTATTGGAATTAATAATAAAATTTAAAAATGTAAAACTGAAGATGAGTACCAAGGAAAAAAAATTAGAATAGACTTCGTATACGGCCTTTCAAGATCATCATTTCTATGGGGAAGATGTATGTGCAACTCGTGTTGTTTATCTCGATTTTTGTATGCACACATGAACAACAGTATCGAGCCCACTCATTTCCACACAAGTTAATTTCAATACACTTAGACGGATTATTAATCAACAAAGTATTTCTGTTTGGACCAAAGAAAAGTTTTATAACGCGAGACAAAAATGTTTTGACATCGAAAACATATATAAATAGGATTTTGTATGGTGCGTGTTGCCGTAGGCACTCCAAATTAGAACATATACTTCTTAAAATTAATTTAGTAATGGAAGTAAATGTCGATCCCACAAAGAGTGATTGATTTACTTTTTGATGCAATATTAACTAAAATGAAAGGTTTTGGTTTTCTTGAAATAATACAAGTTACCGAATTAAATATAAGCAATAAAACAAATCTTGATCTAAGTCAACATCCATCGTTGGAAATTAATAATCAGTCATTGATCCACAAATAATCATCAATTCATAATTGTTGCATTCATTGTGAAAAATAAATTTTCCTTTTGAAACAATTTTCCTATTTCTCCTTAGTTTTAATTAATTAGAAACAAGGGATACAATTAATCCTCATTACCAAACAATCCTAGACAAGCGCGAAATATTAATTTAATAATGGCTTGCGAATTAGAGAAATCACTGAACTAGATAACACAAGTCAAGCGTTTCCATTTAACCTAGATAAATCTTCCTCCTAAGATTTAATAATGTCCAACCAACAAATTATCAATCTTAGTTGCTTCATAAGTTAAACCAATTGATAATTACAGTTTTGAAATTCAACTTAGCAGATTATTGAAATTAATAACCTAGCATGCAGTCTAGAAATCAAACACAATAATCATAAAAATAATTGCAGGAGAAGATTTAATACTAAGCATATGAATTAATCAATAAAAATCAGGTAGATCTCACTATTTAATTGTTCCAAGGCTTCCGTCTTCTTCTATCAAGCAAAAGAAATTAGTTGTACGTTGCACAAAGAGAGAAAAAATAGGGTTGGGAGCGTTCTCCCTGTTTTAGACGAGATTTTGGGCTTACATATGGTATACAAGATTTGTTTCCATAAGTATTTGATTCAAATTAGGAAACTAAAAATTGCATGTCGGAAAGGAACTATGTGACCGCATAGTTATAAGTCTTGCGGTCACATAAAAGTTCTCTGAAGGTCAGAATGTGACCGCATTGGATTTGAACTATGCAACAGCATAGAACAATCGTTTTTCCGTCGGACAACTTTCAGTATTTTGATTGCAACTTTCTTTTTCAATGTCCGATTGAGGGATTCGAAATGAGATGGAAAGCTAACTCAAAGGCTACAACTTTTCTTCAGATGTTATCTTCCAATTCGATTGTTTACCATGTCAAAAATGGGTCCCAATATGATGCTGAAAATTGGTGCATAACCTTTTCGATTGAAAATTGATGTGTGATTATATTTTGATTGTATTTCATTCCTTTGACTTCTTTCCTTGTCCACTTAACCTCTAAAACTCTTGAAGCTTCATCCCATTGCTCGTCTCATCTAGGGATTATTTGCAACTTAGTCTCTGAGCTTTCATCTTCTCTTTTCTTAGCCTCTTTTTCTTGTTTTCCTTCTTCCTACACTTTAAGTCTTCCATTAATTGACCTTCAAATCTTTCACTCCTTTGTTTCACCTTTCGATTCAACTTTTGGATATTTTCATTTTAATCCTTGAACTTTTGATTTCTTTCATTTAGGTCCTTTTTTGCTCTTTCCTTCTATTTTATGCCATGATCATCCAAATGCAACCTAAATCACAATATAAAGGTACTTAGCATATTGAGGTATTAATTAGTCATAAAAATGCAAGAATTAATGTATATAAATCATGACATTTCATGTCTTATCAAATTCCCCCACACTTAGCTTTTGCTCGTCCTCAAGTAACATTCAAATTCACTTTTACAAAGATGTTAAGATTGCCATGCTATCAAGATAGAACAACCAAACTCGCCAAAACACATAACACATCATGAACAAACATTCTCACACAACTTATAAGCAATTAGCAAGTATTTTCATATAAAGATGAAGTAATCCAAACATGAAGACCCTCACAGAATATAAGCACTCAACTCTCATGTGTTTAATGGATAAGTGTTTCACTCAAGTTTATTCCAATAGAGATGTTCTACCATATGCTTGCATATCTTTTTATTCTCCACCAATCAAATCACATGCATAACATAAATCATAAGGTCTTTTCTATGGGTTGTAACTTAGCTTAGGGTCTAAGTGGGAAGTATTTGGGTAAGTAGCTCAAAAGCCATTGAACTAGTTGAGTAAAGTTGATTAACTCAGCTCAAACGTAAACATAAAATGTGTAAGATCAATCTCTCCAGTCACAACTTCTTTGTACCTATTTCACACAATCCAATCCTTTCTTGTAATATATTAGGAGGAATCATTAACATAAAATAATTTTGTAACATTGAAAACTATTTCCTCCATCACTTTTTTCTCTTTTGTCTTCTTCATCATTTTTTTTCTTTTTTTTTCAATTTTTTTTAACTCAAAATATTGCACTAATATTGAAACTTATGAATTGTAATTGAGAACATGTTCCATTCCACCATCATAATCCTACCAAAATCTTAGACACTCCCACACTTATTTCTTTCACA